TAACTCCTCCCCAAGGATGTGTAACTGCATGCATTCAGAAGCGCGGGGGCAGGGTGGGGGCTGCTTACCCAGCATGCACAGATGCTGGGCTCAACCACAGCACTGCCTTCACTGTGCTTCAGTGCACACAACTTCAATGCCTGCACTTGGAAGGTGGAGGCAGGAGGATCGAAAGTCTAAGTCACGCCCAGCTACGTACTGCGTTTACAGGACAGCCTGGGATACACAAGACCCTCCCTATCTCCTTCTGCTTGCCCCATTTTGCGACAGGGAGTATGGGCCTGGTGACTAATTGTTCTGAGGTCTCCCCGTTTACCTGTACCCTGTCAAGAAGCAGTCTCAGTTCTGATGTCTTTTTTATGTAGCCCAGGCTGGTCTTAAACTTGCAGAGACCTGCCTCTGCCTCCTGAGGCTGAAATTACAAAGCTGTCTGACACCTGGCTGACACCCCATCTCTTAAAAAAATAAATAAAAGGAACTCAAAGGCTGTGCCCCAAATGTCTGCGGAAGGCTAGGTTTGGAGACGGGAAGAGTAAAGGGCATAGGTGCAGCGTGCTGTTCTGCATACTTACTTATTGTTTGGGTCGCTGGCGACAACGGCTGCTTAGTTATAAAACCACACGAGCGAGCAAGACCTGCATCAGTGTAAGGCAGCAGTTCTCAATCTTCCTAAGGCTGTGACCCTTTGCTACACTTCCTCCTATTGTGGTGACCCCCAACCACAAAACTATTTTGTTGCTACTTCCTAAGTGTAATTTTGCTCCCGTTATGGATCCTAATGTAAATATGATTGTGATACCCAGCCCCAAATGGGCCTCAAACCCCCCCCCCCAGACCTGTTGATACAAGACCTTCAGGTGCTCCATGTGTGCTGAGCCAAAGGGCCTGATAAGGGAAGAAGAGTAGAAAAGACCTTGTCTTCTTCTAGATACAATGTTTCTCTGTGTAGCCATGGCTGTCCCGCAACTCTGCAGACCAGGCTGGCCTCGAACTTACAGAGATCCACTTGCCTCTGCCTCCAGAATTCTGTCTGAGATACTCTTAAATGATATTTTTTGTTTTTTAGATAGTCCTCATGTACCCCAGGTTAACCTCAAACTCATTATGTAGCCAAGGCTGCCTTTGTCTCCAAATGCTGAGGTTATAGCATCTGCTCTTATGCAGTGCTGGGTAACCAGGGCCTTATCATACTAAGCAAGATACCACCCACTGGGCTACATCCCTAACCCCTTAATGTGGAATTGTTTTTTGAGACAGGGTTTCTCTGTGTAGCCCTGGCTGTCACGGTATTCTCTGTAGACCAGGCTGGCCTTAAACTTACAGAGATCCACCTGCTTCTGCTCCTGAGTTCTGGAATTAAAAGCTTGCACCACTACACCCAGCATTTTTTTTTTTTTTTTAAACAAGAGAGAAGAAAGTGTTAAAGGCAAAGAGCCAAATGTCTGGAAGAGATGCGGGGACCAGCATGGCTAACTGAAGGTAAAGAGAAGCCCACGGAGAGGAAGGTAAGAGCTGGCGGCAGTGAGCCTTAAACAGGAACACCCGAAGCGTCTGGGCAGCACACAGCAGTGGCTAACTGGAATGTGGCACACAGGTAGACGGCTGTCTAGGCTCTGGGGCTCTGTAAGGCTCATGAATGGAGGGCGGGTAGGGTAAGGGAAGGCAGTAGAAGAAAAGGGTAACTATTTCAAACAGTAGCTCCTGAGGGGCTGAGCACGGTGGTGTGCCTTTAACCTCAGAAGAATGGCACAGGCAGATACACTGTGTAGCAAGTTGCAGGCCAGGAGGGCCAGAAAAATACAAAAATAAAAAACTTTTACCAACCCACCCAGGGCAATTTCGTAATGCCCCAGACATGGACCAGGAGGAATCACTTCCTTTGGACTAAAAAGGAAAGTGAATTGATTCTGAAAGCTGGCCTGGCCCAGCCTAGGTGCACAAGTGGAGATTCCAGCAGGACTCAGTTGCCTACAGCAGACAGGTGTACACAGGGAACTGCTCCCCACAACCCCTACTGCCACTTAGGGACTGGATCCAGGCCTTATTTTCTGTTGTTGTTGTTGTTTTTTTGGAACTGTGAATAGAACACAGGGCTTTGAACTCCTGAAGCCCATCCTCCACCAGCCGTTAGGTATGACTTACACATTCAAGCATCCAAGAACAAAGCAGTTAGCTCCCAAATCCCTTGGGTGCTCTCACCAAGAACACCAACCCTCCATCCATGCAAGATGTGGCAAGGACAGGGCAGATCTTCCTATCCTATCTATACCCTGTAGCAGTATGCTTTTTGCTGTATTTTAACTGAAAACCAGAGTACGTTCCTGTGATTCATGGCCATAAGCCTTCTGTTCCTTGAGTCTCTGCACTCTATCTGTCCTAGCAATGTCCTCACCAAGATAGTTGGTTTGTGTATGCTGCACCAGGGATCAAACCCAGGGCCTCCTGCCAAGTGATCTACCAGAAAGCCACAGCCCGGCGTCTCAATGCACAGGATGGAGGAGGGGATGGTGGGGCACAGGTGAAAGGCTTAATGCCAAACCTCCTGCCTGGTCTGGCTGGCAGCATGCTTGCAGGGAGGGCTTGTGAGGGAAGTTAGTGACAGGAAGGCTGTGTAGAGAGCTGCTCAGCTGTGTGCACAGCAGTTTTGTCTGCGGTGTCCTGCCTGTATTCAAACCCAGCTTAAGAGCTGCTCTGGCTCTCACAGCCCAGAGGCGCTCCCCCAGCTGGCAGCCAAAGTGACACACACATGGGGCGGGCAGGCCCTTGCCTTCCAGCTTTCACAGCTAACAGTTCTGATAACTTCCTGGCTTCCAGACCCTCCCTGCCTTCACCAACTGTGCCTCTTTGCCGTGCTCAAGGTTTCCACTGCCTTGGCCCTAACCCTTGGTACCTTTCTCAAGAACTCAGGGTCATTCCTACCCATTCCAGCCATCTTCTAATTGGGTCAGGGAACCCAATCAGAAAAACCTGCAGAGGATGGAAAGCACTTGGATTCTGTCATTCCCCAGTGACCAGCAGGGCATGCCACCTCTGCAGCTACTGGTTCGAGAGAACCAAAGATGGTGCTTACTGTTGACAGCCTGCCCAGGGACCAGCAGGAAGGGAGGGGCATCCTCCTCGGCCATTCCCAAGATGCCACAATTCCAGAGCATCCTGAAATTGGCTTGACCCATCTTAAACAAATGCCCAAAACCAGAGAAAATTTCTGCTCGCATTCTGTCCTAACTGAATGTGTGTGCTTGACCTGGCGGGTTAAATGCAGGAGTCCCCAGAAGCTTCAAATGCTGCATCTCAATGATAAGAAACACGTCCTTCTGAAGGGGACAGTTTTGCCTTTCATCCACTGGGCTGATCTAAGCCCATTAATTTCCTCCAGATACATTTTGGAATTATTCTGAATCCAGATTACACTTGGATCTGGGTCCTTTGTGAAATCATGACAAACAAGCCTTGGGAAGCAACCTAAGGATCAGGTACACAGACTCACCTTCACCTTTATCCTATATACTTCAAAGCTGGTAAGTTTGGTCAAGAGCCACAGCCAGGGGGCTCCCCTACCTCCCTTGAATGTGAATAACTAAGGGCCAGGAAAGAACCAGTCACCTGCTTCTCCAAGTTGTGTGAAGACTCTTCCACTAGCCTGCTATTCAGCTAAGTTGTTATTATTTACTTTTTGTGACAGTGGGAAGAGGAGGGATAAGACAGATATACACCAGACTAACCTCAAACTTTCAGAGATCTTCCTGCCTCTGCTTCCCGAGTGCTGCTATTACAGGCATGTACCACCATGTCTTATGAAAAGACTAATAATAGGAGCTTATTAATACTAATACAGCTGACGATAGGTTTACAGGCACACGCCTGCAATCCAACACCTGGGGGACAAAGGCAGCAAGCTAGGTCGTGGCGGTGGTGGTGGCAGCTGTGCTGAAGGTGCACACCTTTAGTTCCAGTGCTCAGGAGTCAGAGGCAGGTGGATCTCTCCGAGTCTGAGTTCAAGGCCTTCCTGGTCTATAAGAGAGAGTTCCACGACAGCCAGGGCTATCCTGTCTCAAAAACCAACCAACCAACCAACCAACCAACCAACCAACCAACCAACCAACCAACCAGTTTGAGGTCAGGCTGGGCTATACTGAGACCCTATCTCAAAACAAAACACAATAAAATAAACAAACAAAAAAAATACTACAGCTCAGGAAGTGATTTTTATGAACAAATAAATAAAGCACTTGAGACAGAAGTGCCTAACTTTTTAGCTGTAAACGCTTGGAGGACCCCTAAAGAAAGGAAAATGCCGTTGGATTTTCAGGGAAGATAAGAGGGCTGGCTAAGGGCTGCCTGGTTAAGTGGTTTGGAAGTCAGAGAAATGGGCAAAAAGCACTGGTTCTTGAGGGGGATGACAGTAACGAGGGGTTAGGGGAGAGGGAGGAGAGGGAGAAAGAGAGGCTGAGAGGAAAACTATCAAGAAAGGGAGAAGAATTGAAATAATACAGGTAAAATACTTCACACAGGACGTAGGATCCAAACTCAGTCTACAGAGAGGAGAGGCTTCCCTGCAGAGAGTAGCCATATTAGGACTACAAACCCCTAATTTCCAGGGTTGAAAAGAGCCACGACTAGAGGAAGTAGTTCCGGGCCTTCCAATTGTGTTAGTCCCTCAGGCAGTGGCTCTCAAGCTTCCTCATGCTGTGGCCTTTTACGCAGTCCATGCTGGGCCCCCTAACTAATGCAAACATCTGCTATAACCGACATGCGGCCGCCTGGGCCCCACCCGAACATCTACCAACAGACGTGAACCCTGGCCGAGCTCTTCACGATGAGTCCTAGAGCCCTCACGCTCCTGATCCCTTCGGGCACCCTTCAGGGTGTGACGGGAAGAAGGGATCATAATCCATTTGAGCTCCCCCATGACTCCCTCCCGCCTCTGCAGAGCAAATGGCCAGTGTGGAGAGGGACTGTCCGCACAGCTGCTGCACAAGGATGAAGGGCTGCTCCAAAGCTGCATAAAACAAGTTTAATTTCCAACCAGGGTCACAGTCGCTGCATTATCCCACACTTTTGAGAAAGGATAAAGAAGGTGAGTTATTAAACATATACAGTCTACATTCCAGAAAAAGGAAAAAGAAAAACCCACTTCAGAACTGCAGACACCACTGTAACACCACAAATCTGGGAGGCAGAGGAAAGGGGGAGTCCCTAGAAAAAAAGCTTAGAACAAGGAAGAAAAAAAAATTAAACCAACTTGAGAAAAGCAAGAGAAGGAGCTCACAAAAACAGAATGAAACACCTAACCCAAAGACCGGTTAGCTGAAAGGGAATGTAGAAACATCTCCCCTCTCCCCGCAAGAGCCCGAGATGCTACCAAGATGTTACTGCCCCCTGCTGGACAAATCTGGAGCAGCACCAAGGCAACATTCAAGGCTGCTTCAGCCTGCTCAGCCTCCGGAGGTTCCAGGAGGTGGAGAAAAATAAGACGCTGCGGTAAGGAACAGAGGAGTGGAACGAAGCCTGCAATGTACAAAACCTATTTGCAAGTAGCATCTAAGCGGGGAAGTTCAGAAAGTGGCAGAGAACGAGGCAGAGTCCTCACCAATCACAAAGATAGAGCAGAAAACCAAATAGAAGACAACACAAGGAAGAGGACAAACAGGCAACAATCGTAAATGAACAGAGAAGGCAAAGAGCTCACAGAGCAGCAACAGAGGTGGGACATAAACAGAAGACAGCAAAGGAAGTGTGAAGGGCAGTGTCTGGAGTGAGAGGAAAGAACCCATTTTAAAAAGGAACGACCCCTGGCACCCCCACGTACAGATCACACACACACGCGCGCACACACACACACACACACAGGTCTAGAGTACAGTCACACGGCAGCTGGGGTAACAGCACTATCTGCACTGGGGGAGAGGCCCTGGACCTCACACTTCAGCTGGGGCAGGATGAGGAACTGATCTGCCTGCTGTCCACAAAGGTGGCAGGAAACCTGGCTCAGAACGGCCCTCCTGGGAAGGGCCCTTAGCCATGCTGCAGAGCCCAGGGTCCTAACCTTGGCAGAGAGGTCACGGGCAGCTGCTCTGGAGCTCAGGGCGCAGCCAGCACACACAGGAGCCCACAGAACAGCCACAGCTTCAGTGCAGTGACAAGTCAGAACCCAGGTCATAGCCTAAAGGACAAGTGCCCTCAACAGTGCTGCAGCAGCAGCAGCAGCAGAACTTCAGAATGCTGGAGGGAGGGCCCTGAAGACCACTGTCCTGGCACTAGTCACGCGGGGGCCTGTTTCCTCCATTCCAACCCCGCAGACCTACTCAGGGACAGTGTGTGAGGACTGGGGAGCGCTGCCAGGAAGGAGGGGAGGACAGTGAGGACTGCGAAAGGCCCACGAACACAAAGTCATCTCTCAGCTGTCCTGAGCTAGACAGAGAAGTGGAAAACAGGCGTTGATACTAGGTCTGCTATTACTCCACCTGGTCAGTCCTTGTTAGGCCAGCAGGGCTACTAAGGGAGCAAATCTCTGACAAAGGACAGATGGAACCACCCAGCCCAAGACCAGAAGACTGAGGAAAGTACAGGAGGCAGGAACAGGACTTCTCTGTGCCTGGAGGCCTTCCCCAGACCACATTCCACCCCTCAACACTCAGGTCCCAAATACACCAGGTCCCACTAACCCACCTCCCTCTGAGCTCCTGGCGAGCAGACTTAAGGAGAGTGGGGGAGAATCAATACAACACTCCGGACTAGTCAAAATGAGGGGCTCCACTCTCCTTCCTACTAATGAGGCAGAGTAGAACGGCAACTCCTTAGAACAGTCATCCAGAGATCAGTGCCATTTCATGCGCTCACAGAGGAGGAGGAGTTTAAGGAAGATGGCTGCAGAGCCCATCCTCGAGCCTAACATCCAGGTACGCCCCTGCAGAGAGGAGAGCGATGCACCCGCCCACACCCCCTTATCTCCCAACACGGAAGGCGGATGATAGGCTCCAGTGCACAGTGTCCTGGCTGGACGCCCCTCCCTCCCCCGACCTCCACATATCTCTCTCTACACGGATATACAGGCGCACACATGCACGCACACAGAGAGGCCCGTGCGGTTTCCATGGAGAAGAGGAGAGGGTGCAGAAGGAAAGGAGGACAGGGAGGAGAATGGCCGGGGAGACACAGAAGGGGCTCAGATGCCAAGAGCACAGCAACCAGTGCCACACAGCAACAGAGAGAACACCCACTCCTCCTCCTGAAACCAAGGGGGACCACCCCAGGAAACCATAACAGCCTCATTTTGTTTTAAATCCAGTAAATTGGAATGGTTCATCATCAGGACAGCAGTTGGGGGCTGATCATGTCAGTGGACCGGGAAGGAGAGAGGGAGGCACGGGAGGCAAGGTTCTTGCTGAGCATGTGGATGTGATACCCAGGACCTTGGCCACACTTTTAAGAGGAAGAAAGGGGAAGGTGGGGTAGGGAGACAACAGGTGTGTCAGGAGAGGGTGGGGTGGTCGGATAGGGCTGCCTGGCTCTCACTTCTTGTTTTTGAGCTGATTGGCCAGCCAGTCCAAGCCTTCATACAGCCCGTCCCCGCTGGTAGCACAGGTGGCCTGAATGTACCAATTGCGGTGACGCAGAGAATGCAGCCCCAGCTTGTCTGTGATTTCAGCAGCATTCATAGCATTCGGCAAATCCTGCAGTGCAAGGGAGACACACAAAGATACCTCAGGATCTTTCGAAGGCTGCTAGAGCACCCATTTACCAAAGGCATGTGTGGCTGCCACCTCCTTCATCTCAGGAAACCCAGCTCAGGATCTGGAGGAACTACTCCAGGCCCAGTAGTGCCAGAACACCGAAGCCAGTGAACTAGATAGAGGAGGCCGAGGGTTTCAAACATGTGTGAGTCAGATGGCCAAAGAAGCAAGTCTGACAGCAGGAGCAAGGCCAGTTCCTACAGTGCACCCCAGGGAAAATAAGAACCCGGCAGAGGCAGCTCTGCCACATTCGTCCCCAGGACTAAAATGCTGCCCAACACCCTGGGCTGGGAACAAGGAAAGGGGCACGAAGCAGCCAGAGGCTCGAATCCCCACACTGCCAACCCGACAGCAGCAGTTCACGCCTATAAAACGAGCCCCAAGGCCCCGGATTTCTACAGCCAGGCTGCTCTCTCCCACCTGCTTGTTTGCAAACACGAGCAGCACAGCATCACGAAGCTCGTCCTCGGCCAGCATCCGCATCAGCTCTTCTCGGGCCTCGTTTACCCGCTCCCGGTCGTTGCTGTCAACCACAAATATCAAGCCTACAGAGCAGAGAGAGCGTGGGACACACAGAGGTGACAGATGTCTCCTGTCCTATCCCTCACCCTCCAAACGCACGTTCCCCTCTCTCCACTCCCAGGAGCTGCATCAGGGAAAGGGATGGCTACCCAGGACAAAGAAAACAGCCATGCTCTGCAAAAGCCTAGCAAAGCAATGTCAATCCCGGGAAGTTTGTCTACCATACCTTGGGTGTTCTGGAAGTAGTGTCTCCAGAGGGGCCGGATCTTATCCTGGCCACCTACGTCCCATACTGTGAAGCTGATATTCTTATATTCCACTGTCTCCACATTAAACCCTTTGGAGGGGGAAAAAAAAAAGTCAATGGCCACTGGCCTCAAACACCAGACCTACAAATAAGATCCATTCAGTTTACTCCCATTTCTTCTCAGCTTTGAATGTGACACCAAAGACAAAAAGCTTAAGGGATTCTGGGACCTCATAATCCTTGACCTGCATAGCCTAAAAAAAAAAAAAAAAAAAAATCTAAAAGGACTGGAGAGATGGTTCAGTGGTCAAGAGCACTTGTTTTCAAAAAGGCTGGGGTTTAGTTCCCAGCGCTCACAAAGTAGCTCACAACCATCCATAACTCCAGCTCCAGGGGATCTGATGCCTCTACTACCTCCACGCTCATTAGTCACATACATACATATGTTGCATGGACATATATACATACATGCAAAACATAAACCCATACATAAAATAAACATCCACATATTATTATAATATATGTATTATTTTAGGAAGGAAGAGCTAAGAAGTCAAACAGTGAGGTCTGATCAGAAGGTGCATGGCTGCCTGGGTAGTTATGAGCCACCTTCTCCCCTGTTCATGCAGATTCTGGTCCTCCATTCTACAAAGAAACGACTCTGCTCTGTCCCTCCATCACTAACTGTATCTACGCTAGGATGCGGGGCTGAGAGGCAGAGGGAAAAAGTGAGACATGAGCTACAGTGCTGGAGCCCCAAGTGTAACGAGCTCAGGGTGATGACCCACAGCCCCCATGTTTGCAGCAAATGCTCTCCCTCACATGGGTAGGGCTTAACCAAGATTTCTACTGAAGATCTAAACCAAAGCAAGTCCAGGCCTCTGGCAGGAACATCAAAGCCCTTCACCTGCTTTCCAAACAACACACAGAACAAACCAACTCTAATGCCTGAGGGTAACTGCTGAGTGCCAGGCTGCGGAAGTTCCCGCATCAGGGAGGGCCAGGGCAGGTGGGCAAACGGCAGCTCCAGTACCTGCCAAAGTTAAACAGACACTCTCTCTGAAGCCCACGAAATGTATGGGCTTGCCTGGGGAGAGCAGGCCAGGTGGGAGATCAGGAGGAGCCCCGGCCTCCCTCAGCCCACAAACAAGCTCGCCTTACCAATGGTGGGGATGGTGGTGACAATCTCCCCAAGTTTCAGCTTATACAGGATGGTGGTCTTTCCTGCAGCATCCAGGCCCACCATCAGGATGCGCATCTCCTTCTTTCCAATCAGACTCTTCAGAAGGTTCCCAAAGATATTGCCCATGATTACAGTGTCTGCTTTCCACGGGGCCCAGGTAGGGGCAGTAGTAGTCTGGTTTCAGCCTGGTCCCTGGTATGGAGGTTTGATCCTGAACAAAGGAAACACATATCACTTGTAAGGACTTCACAGTCACAGAATTTGCCAAAGTTATAGCTGGAGTTCATTCACTACTGGTTCAACCACAGAAGGGACTATGACTCCAAGGCCATCACACTCAGACTGAACTTTTGAGAGCAGAGGCAAAGCAGAGATATGCCCTTCTCTGGCTATGCCACTGATCTCTTACAGTGACTCGACCAAGACTCCTTACTTCACCTTTGCAGATCCTAAAAGGGTTCTAGTTGATTTCTAAAATCAGTTCTGGTGTTCTCTGTTACAGCCCAGAGCACTGTAAACCCCTTTACCACTCCCTCCTCCAACCTTACCCTGTGACTTCTGCAAAGGGTGGAGCAGGGTGGAATGAGGAGTGGCTCTAACTCCTGACAAGGCTCAGGCTTGCCAGGTTCCCAAGGTTTACGAACTGCTCTAGTCGAGAGACTTCCTTCCTTGCCTGTAACTCTGTAACTCCATTTTCCTTCCATACCCATGTAAATGAGGAAGAAAAATACCACTCATGACTCCTAAAAGAAGCTCATCTTGAGCAGGGTGGTGCAGGCCTGTAATCCCAGCACTCAGGGAAACAGAGGCAGGAGGATCTCTGTGAGTTCAAGGCCAGCATGGTCCACAAAGTCCAGGATAGGCAAGGCTACACAGAGAAACCCCGTTTTAAACAAACAAAACAAAACAAAAAGCTATTTTATACTCTGAACTGCATACAACTATGTCCTTGGCTGGGAGAGTAGGGAAAGGCTTTGCTCTCTTTGGCCCACCCATAAAAAGCCAGAGGCATTTTTGTTGTTGTTGTTTGAAACAGGGTTTCTCTGTGTAGCCCTGGCTGTCCTGGAACTCACTCAGCAGACCAGGCTGGCCTCCAACTTAGAGGTCCGCCTGCTTCTGCTTCCCAAGTGCTGGGATTAAAGGTGTGCCCAGCTCAGCCACAGTGATTTTAAAGGGCAAACCAGACCATTTGGTTCTTCTGTTCAAAACTTTTGGCTGCTTCAAGTTCCCTGTTAGCACAAGCGAAGCCCTGCAGCACTGCACTCCTAAAAGCTAGAGCCGTGCTTGATGCAATTCAGCATTCATTCCAGTCTGCTCCCAGCAGACAAAGCATGCACTTATGCGTTCATGCCCCTCCACTCACAGGACAGCGCAGATGGCCAGCGAGGCAGGTGTGCCAGCTCACACCTATTCCATCAGGAAGTGGAGCCAGAAGAACCTCAAGCTTCAAGCCAGTTCCTCAGCAAGACCAGCTCTCAAACCAAGCCCACCGCCCACACAAACAAAAGACGCTTTGAAATGTTCTATTGCTTTTACATTTACCTATTTTACTTTAGGTATGAGTTATTTTGCTTGCATATTTGTCTGTGCCAGGTGTGTCCTTGTGCCCCCAGAAGGCATTAGATTCCACTGGAATTATGAATGGTTGTGATGGGGCTAAAATGAGGACTCAGTGATTAAGAGCAGGTGCTGCTCTTCCAAAGGACCTGTGTTCAATTCCCAGGAACCATATGGCTGCTCATAACCATCTATAATGGAATCCAATGTCCTCTTCTGGTGTGTAGACATACAGAGTGAATATTCATACACACAAAATACATAAAATAATAAATCTCTTAAAAAAAAAAGAGAGAGATCAGTTGTGAGCTGCTATGTGAGTGCCGAGAACGACCCAGGACTCCTGCAAGAGCAAGTGCCCTTACCTACCGAGTCCACTTTAAAATGTTTGAGCTGGGGTCTCAGTTGCCTAGGCTGGCCTCAAATTCACTATATAGCCAAGAATAAACTTCTGCTCTTACCTCCACCTCCCAAGCACTAAGATTACAGGTGGCTTAGGAGTCATCTCTGAAACAATCATAGGATGGGCGTTCAGAACCATCCATGCCAGCCAGTTCTCTGCCTCAGGAAGCACATGTCAGCGGGCAGTTTATTTGGCAATCACCATATGCTAGCTGCTGGCACTCGATAGGGTCTGGAAACCAGTGACACACACCCCCCAAACCCAGAAGGCGAAGGAACAGGTCAAGACAGTGCATCTAATGTGTAAAGCAGATGATGAAGACACCTATTTACAAAGCAAAGACAGTCTGCTGAGAGTTTAGTTACTTTTTGAAAACTTCTTCAGGCTTATTTTTGTTGTTTTGTTTTCTTCTCCTCGTCTGTAGCAAATTCCAGACTAATGCACAGAAGTTAGATTAATAGCCCCTGGAGATCGAAGTACTAGGTTGCTCAAGAATAAAAAAGAAATGAATGCACTAGAGTGTTTCATCTTCAGACACCCCAGACACCTGCTAATGAGCCAGGTGTGGCTCTCTTGGGTTTTCCAGATGAGCCCTGCCTGTGTCCCACAAAGCTCATACCCCAGGGACAGGGCGTGGTTCAATTTTTAGGGCTCAACCTCATCCATGGTGCCCACTAGCCAGCCCTGGCCCCTGTCCTCCCTCAACTCACCCAGTCAGCTCTAAGGCTCTCTTGCACATTCCTAAGGTGAGGGCAGGGAGAAGGGATCAGGACAAGACAACCTTGGCACCTATAGCAGGTGGATTTCTGGTACCATGACCTCCACAATGAAAACCTCCAGGTTTTGGGGGATCAAGTAAAGAGATATTTGCTGAAGGTTTGTTATTAGGTTCTGGCAGAGATCTTAGACTTGGGCCATACATTTCTCATTGCCCTTCATGACCGAACTAGTACTGATCACAGTGAGAATAGTTGCTGAAAGAGAAAACCAGCAGCCAGTTACCCCTTACCTGAAAATAGCCTGAACCTGAAAACAGCCCTCTGCTCCACTTCTCTGCTCAACTGTCATGCTGACATCACAGTTCAAAGACAATGGAGACACATGCCTCTAGCCCAAGCTCCGTGAAGTAGAAGCAGGATGGCTTGGGGAAAGAGAAATGACTACGCCTGCTTCTGTGCCACAGCATGCCTCTGAAGGGCCCTGAAAGATGTGAATCTCGCATGCAGCACACACTACCTTGTGAAGCTTGCTTTCTTATAAACTGGCACATGATCATCTCCCTAATTAAAATGTAATCTCCTCTGCAAGATCTAGATCCTTTACTGACTTGGGGCCCGTCTTTATTCCCACGATTAGATCACTGTGAATGTTCCATCATGCGTATTGACTTGAGCCTCAATCTGAGAGATGCCTGTATCATTTCTTCTGTTCAGCAGGATTGGTTATCTATCTACGTATGTACTATGTATCTATGTTAGTCGATCAAATGTGCTGTCAATATATGCCTATGATATATGCCTATGATCCCAATACTCAAAACCTGGAGGCCAGAGGATCAGAAGTTCAAGGCCACCCACAGCTATCTATCAAGTTTGATGCCAGTCTGGGCTACGGGAGTTCTAGCTAATGTGTGTGTGTGTGGGGGGGGGGAATCATCAAGAATGAACCTCCTTCCAAAGCCACCTCCATTACCATCTCCATGTTCAGTGCCTATTGTCTTTTGTCACCATATACCCAAAACAAAGACTGGAGGGGTCATCAATGGAAATAAAGCCAATGTTATGAACAAGACACAGACAAGAGCCACAAAGCTGTCTGCTAAACCTGCTTCTCCAAAGCTAGTCTGAGCCTCTTTCAAAAGACCCCTAAAGACAAGCAGACAAGACACCCAGAGGGAAATGGAGGAAGCCAATGATGGCAAGGGCAGAAATAAACCTGGAGAAAATTCTGGTGTCAAACAGACTAGGTATAGAAATCTGGAAGTGGTAGAGATGACAATAAAAATGTGAGCATTTAAAAATAATTATTACTGTTTTTTCGATTTTGTGTAAGGGGAGCCTGTATGCATGTATTTCATGTGCATGGCTGGTGCCAGAAGAACCAGAAGAGGGCCTCGGACCTCGTTACTGAATCAAACCCTGGTCTTCTCCAAGAGCAACCTGGGCTCTTAAGTACCGGCTCGCCAGCCCTGTCTGTACATTCCTCCCACCCCCTTTTTTTTGAGACAGGGTTTCTCTGTGTAGCCTTGGCTGTCCTGGACTCGCTTTGTAGACCAGGCTGGCCTCAAACTCACAGCAATTCACAGTGTCTGTCTCCCTGAGGTGCACCCTCTTAAAAACTGGATTTCTAGTGACTATACACTTGGCCTTACTTTTAAGCCTTACTGTCAGCACACAGAACAATCCTCTGTGGGCAGCAAGGTGGCTCAGCTGGGCGACACTTGTTGCCAGGTGTGATCACCTGAGTTAGGCCCCCAGGACCACAGCAAAGCAAACTCAACTCGAGAGCTGTGCTCTACACCTCACACACGGCAGCATGCGGGACATGCACATACACACAAGTAAATGTCGTTAAAAAGGGGGTGACTTTTTGTTTGGGGGAAAAACAGATGAATAATGTCCCCTAAGCTGGACTGACACGGAGAAAACACCTTTGAGAGTTTGATGGACTTTTCTTGGCCCCCAGGAGGAGATTCCCTGATGCTGACACGTGTAGGAACCACCATAGCACAAAGGCCTTGTCCCACGGGAACACTCAAAATAGTTTTATGTTAACTTATTTGTGTGTGCCAAGTGCACACGTGGCACGCACACACAGGTCAGAAGACAACGGGAGGAGTTGGTTCTCTCCTTTCACCACATGGATGCTAGGAATCAAGCTCAGGTCTTCACACCTGGTGGCAAGTGCCTTGACCTGCGGAGCTAGCTCAGAGGCTCCTAAAAACTCATCTTTATGTCCTCCTCCCTGTCCACCACTAACACAGACTTAATGCTTTAAAGCCAGAGACCTGGTAGAGTCTGACCGGTAAAAACAGGCTTTGTCCTTATGTGTGTCAGGGAATCTGGAGTAGAGGTGATGTCACTTACATGGTGGTTTCTCCTCTTCTGAGGATGTGGCTCTTCAGACTGAGAACTGCCCTTTGCCTCTCACGTCCTGAACGCTATCACTGGTTCACCAATGTTTAACCACATACTTAACAGGACAGGTCAATCCTTACTGTAAACTCTCTCTATTCAGAGTAACAAAGGCTT